TCAGGCTAACCCCGAAATCCCACATACTCCGTCAGCAACCCCCGCTGCGCTCCAGACCGGCTGCACAAAGCTAAGCCTACAGCCCCCACTGTGGCTTCGTCCGCTCCACTCTGAGTCCCTTGGAGATCGTAGAGGGCATGCGCGAGATGATTAAATTCAAAGCAGCAAAACATACGGAAATGATCCAGGGTTTCCGCGGATCATTTAAAATAATTACAATCCATTATTTTTTGGGGGATTTTTTCATTAATTTCATAAATTTTTATGGGATTTCGGTGTAACAATCAACATATACCGAATCGAACCGAACCGAAAACCGTGACCAGAAACCGTGAATCGAACCGAACCATGGATTTTGTGAACCGTTCCACCCCTAGTGTGTACCACACTCAACATGGACTAGAGGATGCCCAGGAAAGAGTTGGCTAAGGAGATTAAAAAGAAAATTATAGAAATGCATGTTGAGATACATATATATATATGTACACAAAAAAAAATTGTACTGCACTATCCAGAGCTTCCGAAGTGGAAAATTTGAGTTGCACCTGATTTAATTTAGCAAAAAGTGTTCTTTGAAGAAACTTCAAGGTTAACATTTCCATTTATCTGATTAGTAATCGATTGATCATAATATTCGATTTGTAAGATAAGTTGTGAGTTGCAGCCCTACATGAGTATTTCACGTATTCTTTCAATTTATTAACCTAAGTTTCTGTTTTGTTATACATCTTCAAAATATGATCCTCTTGATACTAGAAAGAACTGAGATTAAAAAATAAATAAAGATAGCAGCTAATACATTAACTGTAAGTTACTTGATGAGGTCAATCAACTCTATTTGAGTGGGTTGGCCTGCTGATTAGACATTACAGCTTGTCTGCCAGATTGTTAACTACTACAACCTAAGACCTTAATTTATGAAGGACACTTTTAACAGAGATTTACTTACTTTAATATCAGTTATTCAAACACAAATGTTCTTAGGAATCAAGTACGTATTACAACAACGTATATAGTGATGATTACAACAACGTATTACAGCTTTTTAGATAACTACAATAAAATTATTGATCATCAGTAATTCACTGCATAAACCTGTAGAAGCAACACAGAAATAAGCATCTTATTTTGACTTATGTATTGGGACATTTCTCTGTAACAATGTCATTCTAAACGCATATATTGCAGTATTTTACTCTATAGACATTTGTTAAAGGTATAGTGGAGGATGATCTTTTTCTGGGTGGATCATCTAAATAAGTGGTCCTCAATCATTCTGGTGATATGTTTCTATGTGCTCATCCGCATTTTAATTTACGGTGGTGAGTCTGACGTAAGGGACAAATTGCAAATGTTCTTTTGGAAAGTAAGTTTATATGAGCGATGCAAACAGCAACTTTTAAACAGAGCATGCACGAGGAGAAATGGGCTGCATGCTCTTGCATGCATTCAATTTGCGTTTCCTCTCAGGAGTGGGTACAGGGTTGTGATTGTGCATTTTACTCGGAAACTGGAGAAGGCAGGTCTTTTCAATAATTCGTGAAAATACTCCCCTGTACCTTTAAGGAAATGTAGTAATATCCTTTAAAAAGAATTGTTCAGAACATTTTCTTCCTTGTGATACCAATAGCTAACCGGATTGTTTTCAGTTAAGCGATGCAGTGTATTCTCAGCATGTGGAATAGAGAACTCTTCAGTGACATCAGTACATAGTGCACAATTCTCCACAACAACTGATTTTTTTCCCCTGCTACACCCGGCTAAGCTGCTTCGCTTCTTCTTCTTCTTGTT